CACAAGATAAAATCATCAGAATATTTTATAAAGTTGGAGTGAAATGCCACTCCAACTGCATGTATTTATGGCTCAAGTCAAATGAATGTTTTATGTTATCTGCCTTTTTCCAGACTACCGAAACAACCACCTCTATGGTTTGCCAACAGTAAAGCTATCTCCTCACAGGATTGTTTCAACAAGAAAAAATAATTCAAGTCCTTTAAAACACCAACTTAATGCAATAATGCACATAAAATTGACACAACGCTAAAATATTGCATTAAACACAAGTAACGTGAGAAGTGTATGGATAACTAGTCCAAGATCGAAGAACGTCAAAGATATTTTTATATGCTCAAAAACAATGCCTTGAGGGAATTATAACACGAAGAAAAACAAAAAAACAATCACCTAAAATAGTTTGTGATCGGCACAACACGCAGCTGAGGGCCAAAATTATTATGCAAGTAACCATTTGAGCAATTAATAAAAGTGTTCAATAGAATATGAACTATAACAAAATCTCCAACCAAATCCAGGAACATTACAAACTGCAAAAAAGGAATTATTTATAATCATGGAATTCAACAAAAGCCCATGAAAAATATAATGAAACTAAATTTCTTGAACGCAGTTTAACAAAGGGAAACATAAGAAATTATAGAGTAGAGAAAGCAGACCTCTAAGGCCTTGAGGACATGTTCTGGAGCAATTGTTTTTCTGTCTTCCCGGTTACATACTTCATTGGATTCTGATGAAATCAGATTGATAAATTCTGAAACATAAAGAGAAAGAAAAAACATCAAGGCATCAATTGAACTGGAAGTCCCATCGTTAGAAACTACAAAGATGCAGCAATACGTGAAACTGAAATGAAATACAAATACCAATAGAAAAATCCCGTCAAAAAACTTTTACATACTAGAATCATTCAGGTTAACGACATCAACCATGCACAAGCCACCATATTAACTTTACCAATGATCAAGAAAAGGGCAAGTTCAAGAAGAACAAAAGCAGGTGATTAATGCTTCGAATAAGGCACCCTTCCCCTAATAAATATATTGTCTCCCAAAATATAAATATCAATTATATATGTTTAATGTGTAGACATAGAACTTTCATATATTACATCCTCGACTGGACACATTAGTCTTGGTGCATAATGACTCTCATTCTCCTAACAGAAAATAGTTTTGTATAAGCCTTGCATATGAAGCAGGTATACTGGTAGTTTTACTCTTAAGAAAAATCGAATACAAGTTTTAAGTGTTAAACATTGTACGTAACTATTTGTAGAGAGATTCCTGTTTTCTAGGTTTCACCATAGTTTATGGTTAGACGTCATTAACTCCAAGTACTCCAAAAACAGTCAAATTGACTAATGTGCACACAAACACAAAAAGACGGAAGAATAGAGTTGTAGTTCTACAGTATGCGATTACCAAACTTAATCCAATTATAAGATTAGACAATGGTAAATGTAAAATATGTTATGGAAGGGCGAAAAAAGCCAAATTACATACCTACACAACACTCTATTAGAAGGTCTTGAGTATCTCTTGCAACGCGAACATCTGGAGGGAGCATCTCCTTGATGATTTTTGTCATAGTCGCTGAAAAGAGAACAATTTTAATTTGAATGCTTTGATCCACATGAAGTAATTCAGTTGGTTAGAAAACAAAAAGAAGAGGCTAAGAAAGCCTAAACTTTATCATTGAATACCTTCAATTAAACTTAAACCTCTTTTTCTCATAGCAAATAAGCAACTGAAAGTTATAATTCAACTCTTTTTTCATTGCATAACTTGTCACAAACGAGTCTTGAGTTAAGTAATGTCCATTCTTTTGTTTCTGACTCAGGTCACTGAACAAAAAAGGTTGCAAACTTATTGCCCCACAATAGTGCTCAGAATATCTACTTGTTTCTGATACAGCTGCTTCGTGGTCCCCGCTGTACCACCCGATCTTCACGTCCGCTTGTTCGTAGTCCTCCGTCTCCGTGAAGGTCACGGGGATGTACGCGGACCAGCGGGCAAACGCGCGGGCGAACACGGCCCTCACCTCTGCGGGGTCCAGGTAGTTGATCCCGTGGTCGGGAGAAAAGGCGTACTCAAGGGTGCGCTTGTGCCAGCGTGGGGCCATCCTGCCCATGTAGGTGAAGTGGGGCACGTGGTGGCGGTGGAGGGAAGGAAAGGGGGCGGGGGAGGGTGAAGGCGAAGGCGAAGGCGAAGGCGCCGCCGGGGACAGTGGGAGAGAGGAGAGGCAGATCACTAGGGAAAAGAGCAGCAATAATAGTGATTTGGAACACCTAAAACACGGCGGCGGGGACGACATAGTTATATATTTTTATACTGCCGATCGAGTTTAACTTACTAATTAGATACTACACAATTCATATTTTTGTTCAGGGTGCTTCAGTTTATATAAAAGGAATTAATGTTTTTCCTAATTGTAATAGGAATTAATTCATTTTTATTTTCCTATATCCCTTAGAATTAGCACTCAGTTTATATAATAGGAATTGATTAACGTTTTTCCTAATTCTAATAGGAATTAATTCATTTTTATTTTCCTATATCCCTTAGAATTAGCAGTCATTGTTGCGCCGTCATAATCATGATTCTTGTGGCAATCTATACTTATATTATTTTAAAAGATATTCTATTTATTCAATATTAAAAGATATTCTATTTACTAAATATAGTAGGTAGCAAAATTAAACTTAATTAATAAATTTTTATAATTATCAAGTATTTTAATTACGTATTTTTTATTTTTCTTATCTCATAAAATCACATTAGTAAAAAACAATCCCATAAGATAGGAGTCAAACTTAATTACAACATTTATAATTTTATCAAGTATTTAATTTACTTTTTTTTGGTCTTATCTCATAACATCAGTTTAGTAAAAAATAATCATTCTTATCTTTACATAAAAAATTCCATAAAACCAGTGAAATAAAAAAAAAATCAAAAAATTGTACTAGTTAAAATTTTAATCCATTTTTTAAAACATGTGATTGTTAAATCTTAATCGATTTTTTTTATTTGTTAAAATTATAATTCGTTAAAGATTGTAACTCCAGTCATGTTGTTGCAAAACATGAACCATTCTATGGGACTATGCAATGTGACACGGTTGGTTGTGATCAAACTCTCCGCTCATGTGCTTGAATGCAAGATATTGACGGGCGATCATGTTGGGGACAAAGTGTTGATTCCTAGAATGAATATTACTCCTTCTGATCTTAAGGTTCCATTTAAGTTCTAGCTGGCGACAGTTCCCACTTGTGGTTTCGTATGCCATGACCATAAACAAGAGTCAGAGACAGTCTTTATCCCACGTTGGTCTTTTTCTAAAGAAATCTGTCTTTAGTCATGGCCAATTATATGTTGTTGTTTTGCATGTAACTAATAGAAGAGGGTTGGAGATATTAGTTTGTGAGGATGACGAGTTGCCCAATAATCAAACTCATAATGTTGTGTACAATGAGGTCTTTAATAATATATGATTGTTCATTTCTTGAATACTATTTTATTGTACAATTTTCTTGTGTATTGTAAAACTTTTATTGAATATTGCATTTTATAATATAATATTCTCCAAATAAATATATCTCGTGCCTCGCACATGTCACTTACTATATATATCCGTACATTTTTCTTTATTCATTTAATCTTGCATACTTGAATGGATAAATGGCTTTAAAATTGTGGACCTCGTACATCGCACGGGCTCTGTACTAGTTAGCTGAAATCGACAACAATATATCTTATAATTTTGTAAGTTTCACACCAACCAATAAACAAACTCCTTCTTTTCTTGTTACGAACGAAGCTTTCAACAAGACTTTCTTTCAAAATATATATATATATATATGTATATATATATTATGTATTTTAAATTAATAAATAATATAAGAATATTGAATGAAAACTATTAAAATACTAATATAATTTATAACATAAATAATAAAAAAGATTTGATTATTTAGGTACATAAAAAAATAAAAAAATACAGCACTGCACGTTAGTGATTGTCGGAAAGCACGACAGTGTTATACCAAATGCACAATAATGCATAAGATAATGCATAAGATAATGCACATTATCGCAACGGTGTGCATATTATACATATATTAAATTTTTAGATAGTTCTGTCCGATTTCATCTTTATTTTAAAAAGAAAAAAAAAACATATATCAAAATTGAATAAAAAAATATATTTTTATATCATTTACGTATATCGTTTATTTCAACAAACAACAATAACAAATATTAAATAAAAAAATATAAATACTAGATATAGTTTTAATATATACATAAATTAATAAGTGCACAATAATGTTAATTATACACATTATTGAACATTCTAAAATCAAAATGCACATAAAATTACCCGCTCGATAGATTGGACAATAATACTAAACTAAAATGTACATTATTTTTTTGTAAATCATCATTAATTTTGGTATTTCATATATTAGGTAATTACAATAAAAGTAATGTAAAAATATTAAATAAAATTATTCAAATATTAAATAATTTTTATAATATAAACAAATAAATGATTTATAATAATTACGATAATATGGTTAACCGACCGAATAAATCATGTATTTGGTTCGGTTTTAATATGGTTAGGCAAAAGTTCGAATTGAACATAAGCACAATAGCGACTGAAATGCTGCACATTAGAGTTAGACATATTGCACATTTATGTGTGACAGACCGCACATCTATATATATAATTGTTGACAAGCTTCATTTAATTTTATTCAGCCTTCAATTAATAATAATATGAGTTCATTTAATAAAAACAGGTTGTATTTAATAAAAAAATATATGACCTCCATCCAAAAACCGTTACAATATTTTTTTCTTTTAATTTATTCCAAACAATCGTCTACATATTTTTACTATATTTTGGATTTGTAACGTTTGTATGCGATTACCATTTTTTATTTCTCTATATTTGGAGAATATGGTTACGGGATAATGTTTAAACCCTTAAATTTGAATGGTTAATTTTTTTTTTTTTTTTTTAAATTTGTATGTTGACTATTAACATGCAAAAGAAGTATTAAATATTGATATACTAGAGATACACGCAAAAAGATATAAGAAAAGTCATATTTTGTAATTTTGAGATCTTTACACCAGCTCATTGAAATTCAAAATTTTCATCCAAGATTGTACACTATATTAGTTGAATTTAATGAAAAATTATTATCCATATTATTTTATATAATAGATATAGTGATGAATTTGAATACTTTTATGATGTTCATTTTTACTAACGACAAAATTTTTAAAATGTGATACTATTATTTAACTTATAATTTTACAATTATATACATAAACGTAACTTATAAGTTATGATAATATAAACTTTTGTGCATGTGCACATGATCAAATACTAGTTAGTGATCAAGACTGAAATATTTATAATTTTTTTTGTCTCGAATTATATTTTCGGTTATTTATAAAATTTTAGTTATTATGACCTCGAGAATTTCAACTAAAATAAAGTTATTTCGATAACTTTAAAATTTACATATTTCGATTATTTCAATGAAAATTAAAATAACGGATCTATATGTAAAATATTTATATTATGGTTTATATATTTTTTATGTATTGCGAGTGCACATTATGATTATATGGATTGCACGTTAATAACTATGTCAATGCACAATATATATAAAAAAAATAAAAAAATCAACCAAACTAATTAAAACTTTGGGTTTGAAATTTTATATTCCGGTTCAATTGTTATTTTTTATTATTTTTATACTTAAAAGAACTCAGTTATTTCGGTTTTGAACTCAATTATTATTTTCAATTACGCATTAATGTTTTTCCTAATTGTAATAGGAATAAATTAATGTTGTTTTTCCTATATCCCTTAGAATTAGGTAACCTAGATACGATGGGGGTAAACAAATAATCGTTAGATGAAAGTTGGATGATTCTTGTGCAGTGACGGAGCGGGTCCACGTGCACCTTGATATTTTTTATTTTTAATTTACATAAAAAAATACTATAAAGTATTTATATTATATTAGTAATTATTATTTATGCTTATTTAAAAAAATATACTAACAATCGTTACATTTTTAGATAATTTTTTGAAAATATTAATAATGATTTATTTTTTCGATCTTTTAATTGTAAATTGATTTGTGATTTATAAACACTTGTATTTAGTAGGATTTTATAAGTTTTTAAAAATTTAATGGTAAACATATATATATATATATATATATATAGTAAATATATTTTTATATGAAATGAGCATTTCGGATTAACTACAAGTTTGTTATAACATTTAAAATCGGACCCTTATGAGTGAAATTCCTACATCTGTCACTATTTTTGTGTGAGATGCAGGATTTTAATAAAACTAATTAACGTGGGACCATAGAGTTATTAATGTTAAATTTACCTAATAATTAACTAATCACATTTTCTTAGTAAATATATATATAAATTTTTAAACTGGTATGTTATAGATAATTTTAACATAACATAAATCAAAGTATAAAATTTCATAGCATAATTATGTATTTTTATTAAAAATAAGTATCACGAATCGGTCTAACTAGTGCGTAGCCCCGTGCGAGCACGGGTAATTATATTAAATAATAATTATAAATAGGTATCGAGTTCGAGTGGTGGAGAACCATTATCCTATTTTAAAAGAGAAAAAAAATATAAATTAAAGATGTAGGATTAACATGTGATATAATTTACTGTCGTATATCAGTTTAATATTATAAATAGGTCTCGAGTTCGAGTGGTGGGGTTAACATATGATATAATTGACCGTCGTATATCACTTTATTATCAACAATATGAAATTAACTTGTATAAGAGAACATAGAGTTTGCATGTATAAAATACTAAAAATGTAAAAGTAAGTAAAAGTTTATGTATTATTATTAAAAGATGTGAAGTCACCTACAATTTTTTTAAACTATTTTGGAAAGAAAACATGTTTAAAAACATTTAAATTTTATATTTTATGAAAGATGTTTTCTAAACTCTATTGTAAAGAAAACATGTTTAAAAATATTTAAATTTAATATGTATATGTATATATATATATATACGTGTATATGTATATATAGATATAATATGACATGATAAAATATTATATAAAATTATCTACAATATCATAAGCCTAAATAAAAACATTATAAATTTTTGAGATAAAATTTACCACTTATATATAAAATAAATAATGAAATTATACCGAGAATTATGACGGTATTTCTTATTATTTTTTTATAAGTTGTTACCGTTAAAAAAAAAAAATTGTACGCATAA